AACGTACTCACAATTTACGAAAAAAAAATGTTTCGAATTAAATTTAAAACAGTATCGTTGTCATAACGACAAAATAAAAACAAATATTTGTATATATCAGGGGTGACGCCAAAATTCTCGGCCTAATTCACTTCGAAAATTTTGTACATTATTTTGTCACTGTAGCGCAAAAGGTTTCTGCAGAAGTTAGCGAAGGAAAGCGAGAAGAAAGGACGAAGTATAAACTACAAGAAGACAGAATACATGGTTATCAGTAAAAAGGGGGCGAGCCCAAAATGCAAATTACAAATCGGGGACACTAAAATCAAACATGCACAGAAACTTAATTATCTGGGAAGTGTTCTAACAGAGGATGGAAAGTGCGACATCGATATCCGAAGACATACTGGGATGGTCAAAGATGCTTTCCAAAAGCTAAGCAGAGTAATAAGTGATAGAAAAATTTCGTTAGAAACAAAGAAATAAATACTCAACTTTTACGTGGCATCTGTCCTCCTGTATGGCAGAATGCTGGATAGTCTTCTCAAAGATGAAGAAGAGATTTGAAGTAACAGAAATGTGGTTCTACAGAAAGATGCTGAAAATACCATGGAACGAACATGTGAGCAAGACCAATGTTTTGGAGAAAATGGAAACAAAAAAGAAACATATTTAATATCAGGGAGAGACAATCGAAATTTCGAGGACAAATAATGAGGAAGAAAGACTTGGAAAACCTGATACTCACAAGAGAGATTGAGGGTAAGAGGGACAAAGGAAAGCAGCACGTAACATATTTTATGAGTTTGAGCAAATGGATGGTATAACAGGTTTTGGGAGAAATAATAAAAAGACGAAACATATTAAGAATTAAAAGGGACAGGAAGATGTGGAAGGCCATGATCGCCTATGCTCTGAAGGGACACCGCACATAGAAGAAGAAGAAGAAGAAGAAGAAGAAGAAGAAGAAGAAGAAGAAGAAGCTGGAAAGAGTGTTATTTTTATATTGTAAAGTGTCAATTTGTAAAATGCTTGCATTCATTTTTGAATTTGATTCATATCATTACGAACTAACAGTGACGGAAAGTGTGGAATTGTCAAGTCTTGAGCTAAAAGGGACAGGAAGATGTGGAAGGCCATTATCACCTATGTCCTGAAGGGACACCGCACATAGAAGAAGAAGAAGAAGAAGAAGAAGAAGAAGAAGCTAGAAAGAGTGTTATTTTTATATTGTAAAGTGTCAATTTGTAAAAAAAATGCTTTTATTCATTTTTGAATTTGGTTCATATCATTACGAACTAATAGTGACGGAAAGTGTGGAATTGTCAAGTCTTGGACAGCAGGCCTTCATGAAATTTCTGTTTCTGCGGACGAAAACCGCAAAGGAAATCCATAGGTTTATGATGTAAATATTGGGTAACCAAATACACGTCACTCTCAACTGTGATGAAGGGCTTTATCAACTTCCAACAAGAAGGGCTTACGGTTATATCATGTTGAAACATCGGCTGTCGTACGATCGCCGAAGTTGAGCAACATCGGGACTGGTCAGTACCTAGATGGGCGACCGCTTCGATGTGCGGATGGTGTAATGTGGAACGGCTTGAAATTGGAAATCGGAGAACTGAGTTCCAATTCTAGTCAAGTTCATTGTCTTGACTTACGGGCAAATGCCCTTGCGAAAGGTATGAATTCACATATCCCCTCTCCAGCTATGGGTTAATCAGTAGGACTTGTATCAGTAAATCACTATAATCTTTTAAAAAATTCTTACAATCTAAAAATATTTTCTGCCTTCAAATAAGCTGAAGAAGGTTGATAATCTGTAAAAAAATCAATATATATGTGGCTTGTTTTCCAGACACATGACTTTCAGATTGTCGTATTGTCCTTTTGCATGCAATAGCCCATGTCTGGTCTGCGGTTTCAACTCTGAAGATATAGAACATTTCACCAAATTAAAAGCGGAATCGATCTTTTGTAAAGAATGCTCAATTTAGCTGAAAGTTGAGGTATAGTCATAAAAATTCCGGAAAACGCATTGCTTAATGAATAATTATACTATGGAGCATCATTTATCTGTCTATATTTCTGAGATGAGGCATTATGTACACTATTTAAATTATTCGAACTATTGTCCTCATCTTTGTCGCCATATTTATTACAACGTTTCGGCCGTTATACGCTCCGGCCTTCTTCAGGTGGTTGGAATGTCGAACTCAACCCTTTATTCCGCTCACTGGTGTAGACTGTTCTAGTTCTACGTGCTATGTCTAATGGATGTCAGTTATCCGTTATCTCTTGTTAATTCCCCTCAACAAGTTCTCCACTGGCTTAACCGGGTATTGAAATCACACTTGGCACTGGATCTAACTAACGCCTGACAGGACCCAAAGAGTGTGAGTTCAATCTAACATGAAGATTTGGAGATCCCAATTAGCAACACCGATCTCGAAGGCCTTTAGGGTAACAAGGTTTGAAATTGTTGATCATATTCATTATCTTGCTTTTACCGATCGACTATTTTTGTCCAAAAAAATTGTTTAGATACTAGCGATATCCAGGGTTTGTGTTTGGGGAATTATAAACATTTAGGTATACAGAAGTTGTCTGCCATGCTGTGATAAAATGTTTGAATGCCGACTGCATCGAGAGGACATAACCTCCATGTTGAATTTGCAACATTGTCAGCGATCTCGAAGTCATTTTTGCGCTATTATGATCTATCGACGAAAACAGTTCATGCACTGGTATCACTTGTATTCTCCGATGCCAAAAAAAAAAAAAAAAAGAATACCAAAAAAACTAAAGGCTAAACTGTCAGCAGAAAAGGTTATGGCCACGGTCTTTTTTTATGTATATATATAGAGATATATAAATGTTAGATATATAAATGACTATCATCAGAACAACCAAACAACTAATGCAGAACACTAATTTAACTTAGTAGGCACTTCGACAGGGTGTCTTTGAAACACTAGTTTCTGTATGATCAAGCAACGTCAGTGCTGGTCAATACTTTGATGTGTGAGCGTTTGGGAATACAAAATGCTGTAAGCTTGGATGTGTGGGAGGTGCAGTGGATAATGACACGGAATTTGAAATCGGAGATCCGAGTTCTAATTCCTTTCGGTTTCATTATATTCAATAACACACAAATACTCTTAGAAAAGGCACGAATCCACCTCTTCTCTTCCTAGTTATGGGTTAATTAATAAGACTTTTATTATTAAACATTTATTATTTCAAAAAAAATTCTTACACCCTAAAGAAATTTTTTAGCTTCAAGTAACCTGTAAAGGGTTGATAAACCGTAGAAAATGAATCAATCAATCGACATGGTGTAATCATACTTATTATAAAACCCAGGTTGTGCGCGCGCGCGTGTGTGTGTGTGTGTGTGTGTGTGTGTGTGTGTGTGTGTGTTTGTGTTCGTTTATACATTGGATCGGATTTCCTACATTTTTCAACCGATTTCAACAAAACTTCACAGGACTACATAAAATTACCTTGCGGTGGTTCTGATAGTGCCAAAAATTGGAAAAACACAATAGTTTTTTCACGAAATCAATTTGAAAACACGATTAAGAGACATCACTGTCACCATAATGAAAGGGGGGCAACTCATATCGAGTTATACTTATTATAAAACCCAGGTTGTTTGTGTGTGTGTGTGTGTTCGTTTATATATGGGATCGGATTTCCTACATTTTTCAACCGATTTCATCAAAACTTAACTTTTTTTTGGCAGGTAGTGTTTCTTATTGTCTTGCACACTTCTTTTTCTTTATTTTTACATTCAGAATGCTTTAAAAATTCTATTTACAAGACAATTATTTATAATAAAATTCTATTCAATCGGTAGACTCATAACGATAATAATCTTTGTCAATTTTATTTTTCAGTCTTTATGATGGTCGATACTTGATCTATCTCTTACTGTTACATCCCGGGCAATGCTGGGCTCTCCTGCTAGTGCTTAATAAATTTGTATCGGTGGATCAATTACGACTGTGTAGTGCCCTATACTTTCGGTCTTGTGCGACATCCCAGCTATGCTTCGTAAATTTCGAATATAATCGATTCCGATTAAAGAAGCTCTGAATGAAAATGACGAGGAAGATTTCCAGGAAGATGTTCTATTTTTGCAGGACAATGCACCTATTCCCAAGGCTGGCAAAACAATTACTGTTTTGAAGAATTTGGAGTTTGTATGTATAAAGCACACACCCTAGTATTCTCTCTGAAATATTCTGTTTCCAAACCTGAAAAGGAGTCGCAAACGGAGGACATTTTTAAATGATTAGGATATGATCCTAGCAGCATATTAATCAGAAAGAGACAGCTGATATCTTCCGGAAACAATGCGAAAAGTGGGCTTGGAGAATTTAACACTCACAAGACATATCGTTATTTTCTAAGCGTGGCTTAGATATGGCACAAGGCCGAAAGTATGGGACACCTAGTGAGGATCGAACTCACTTTTCAGTCGTAACTGATCTAGCGAGACAAGCTTGCTAACCATTACCACACGCCGAGGTGCCCCACTCACATGACATATAGAGGGACAGAAGAAAAGCAGTGAGTAACATATCTATCTAGATTGTGTAAAGGAATAGCAGAACAGGGTGTTGCTGGGTGACAAAACTATAAATGATGGGAAGTTGTGGAGAGCCATGATGTCCCACGTCCTAAAGGGACACAGCAGTGTCTCAATAACGAAAGATTGGCACGCGAAACAATGTTCCAAATGTATTAAAATGCAGAGGTGAATGCGAAGGAAAACACATACTTTGAAATGACTCTAAATCATTCGTTTCTTCATTTTCAGAAAGTCCTTGCAGGTACGATATGGGTGCTGAAAAATTCTAGGCTCGACAAACAACCCAAATTTTCCCGCCTTTTTTTTTTTTTAGAAAGGCTTCTTGGTTTGACCAAGAACCTTTCTTTACCTCTTTGTCTATATACCTGAGCAAGAGAAGATTAACTAATTGATATATTTCCCTAAATACTCTTAGACTTACGGCCACATTACGTTGAAACACCGGTTCCCGTATGACCACTGAAGTTAAGGCAACTTCGAGCCTGGTCAGTACCTAGATGGGTGACCTCTTGGCAAAACCAGATGCTGTAATTATTTACCTGGTTCGGACTGTTGTCGTCATCTTTATTGTCATATTCACGACGTTTCAGTCGTTGTACGCTCCGGCCTTCTTCAGATGATTGGAATTTCGAATTGAACCCTTTATTTCGTCCACCGAGGTAGGTTGCCTCTTCTGAATGTCTCAGTTACAACGGCCGAAACGTCGTGAATATAGCAATAAAGATGAGTTCGAACAATGTGAGTAATGTAAGTAATTACAATACCTCATCTCAGAAATATACACAGGTACAGGTGCTGTAAGTTGGGATGTGCGGGTGGTGTAATGTCCAATAGTGTAGAATTGTTAATCGGAGAGCCGAGTTCCAGTTACAGCTGGGTTCGTCATATTCACTTACGCAAAAATACTCTTGGGAAACGTACGAATCCACCTCTTGTCCCCCAGCTATGGATTAATTAGTAAGACTCGTTTCACTAAACTATTATTATTTCCAAAAATAAAATAAAATTGTATAAAAAATATTTAGAATTTAGCATTAAATAACCTGCAAAGGATTGGTATGCCGTGGAACAAAAACAACCAAAAACTACATAAATATACTGAGTTTGTTTCTAACTATGCACTCACATGCACACATGTGCATACGTACGCATATGTGTGTATATATTTGTATGGGTATATGTGCACGTGTTTCTGTGTATGCGTGTGTTAAAGTGCTTATGTCTTTGGAGATAAACGCTAATTGTGAAAGAGAGGCAGTGTCTTCAGCATAGTGTTTTTGAAAGGTTTATATTAAATATGAAGAAAAGAAAACTAGAAAAAATGAAAAGAAAGATGCTGACAAACGTCTCTTTAAAACAAAAATAAATGAATAAAAATGGTTTAAAAAAATCAGAGACGCTGTAGGGGAAGGATGGAAACAGGAGAGAGTGAGGGAAAAAAAATTTTAAAAAGTTAATCAAGTTTAAAAGGTTACATAAAAAAACGTAAATGGACAGATGAAAAACTAGAAGAAACGAAAAGAGTAAAAAAAAAAAAAAACGGGAAGAAACGAAACAGAAGAGGCTAATAAACAACTGATTTCGAAGGCAAGGGCATCGATGACAAATTCTGCTCATTATTTTTCTTGACAGAAGTTGCTAATGTCCGAACTTTTAGTTCTTTTGCCACGACACTTGTTAGACAGACTTTTGTTTATTGCTGAAGTGATGACAATACAATGGACGATTTCTGCAAATAAGAGGAAACAGAAGAATAAAAAAGAGGTAAATGAATGCGAAAGACAACGATTTTAAAAGTGGAAAAAGAAAAATAAAGAAAAGGAAAGGGCAGAATTTTAATTAAATGGAGTCAAGTGAATAGAGTTGATAAAAGGTTTAAATTAATAGCGATAGAAAAAAAAAAAGAAAAATGGCGGAAAAAATGATAGAGTGAAAGGTAGATGATGAATTATTAATGAATAAAAGAGGACGTTTTCAAAGAAGGAGAGAAAGAAAAGACAAGGGTGTTAACATTTGCAACAGAACAATTTCTTTTCTTCGCAAGAATCCTCTAGAGAAAGGCTCGAGTCCCACTTCAGTCTGTGTTCTGTCTCATTGGCAGATATCGTTGGTACGTCACGGTACCTGATGGAAAGCAAGGTGGCTGAGAGAGCGCTTGGGCAAATCACTTTCACATAATTATATACATATATCCAATATACGTTCTTTTAAAAATACACGTCCTCTTCATTTATTCCAACACAAATATATAAAAATAGATATTCGCATATATATCTTTGTTTGTGTGTGTGTGTCTGTGCGTGTGTGTATGTCTGTGTCTGCGTGTGTAATTATGAATCAACCTTGGAGATAATGAGAACACGAACATATTCATACCAGAGAAAATCCAAAATATAATTAAAAAAGAAGGAAAGTTAACTCTCTCTCTGTCTCTCTCTCTCTCCGTCTCTGTCTCTCTCTCTCTCTCTCTCTCTCTCTATATATATATATATATATATATATATATATATATATTACTGCAAATGTTATAATAGTGAAAACTTAGTATTTGAAATAAACGCCATATTTTAATTTATTAAACAGTAATCTTAGTAAAGAAAGTGTATTCCCCCGCAGGAATCAAATGTGCGTCTGCCTATCTATCGAAATTCAAAATATCTATCTATCTATCTATCTATCTATCTATCTATCTATCTATCGAAATTCAAATATCTATCTATCTATCTATCTATCTATCTATCTATCTATCTATCTATCTATCTATCGAAATTCAAATATCTATCTATCTATCTATCTATCTATCTATCTATCTATCTAAATTCAAATATCTATCTATCGAAATTCAAATATCTATCTATCTATATATCTATCTAAATTCAAATATCTATCTATCGAAATTCAAATATCTATCTATCTATCGAAATTCAAATATCTATCTATCTATCTATCTATCTATCTATCTATCTATCTATCTATCTATCTATCTATCTATCGAAATTCAAATATCTATCTATCTATTGAAATTCAAATATCTATCTATCTAGATAGATAGATATCTCAATTCATATATTTATCTATCTGTCTCAATTCAAATAACTATCTAACTATCTATCTGTTTCTATTCAAATATCTATCTTCACAGAAACAAGATGTTGATGAATCAAAGATAAATAAGTTGTGTTAAAGAATAAATTTTAGAGAAGCAATTAATTCAATAAAAAAATCTCTCTAAATCTTTCTACAGCTGGGGTCCGATTATGTAAAGTTGAACTTCGACTTTCAACAGAATTTGTAAACTTAAGAAATATTGGCTATCGATTGACTTGATATCAGCAGATGTCAAGTGTCTACAATTGTCTTCTTTTACCAGTTGAACGATATTACAGCAAGCACACAGCAGTGTACACACCACACACACGCATAAACACACACACAAACACACACACATAGAAAATATATATATATATATATATATATATATATATAGATAGATAGATAGATAGATATACACGTGTATGTGCGTGCGAGCGAGCACTGAATAGTTGTAGGTCCGCTGAAGACGCCTTGTGCATTTGTAAATATTTCTGGAAGCAGATCGAGCCTAGCATTTTTCAGCAGACTTTTCTGTGCATACATACATACATACATACATACATACATTTTGGTACATACATACTTACATTTGTATACATACATACATACATACATTTCTTTTATGCACACACACACACACATATATATAAGTGAATATTGAAGTCAACACACAGTGGTGACAGACTGTTTCATGTTAAACGCAATTGTCACATGGCCTGACGATTGCGTTTAGCATGAAACAGTCTGTCGCCTCTGAGTGTTAACTTCAATGTTCACTTTTATATTTACATACGCTCTATCTCTGATATTGAGCACTTCATCCTATAATATAGCATACCTTAAAACTATATTTCTTCATATATATATATATATATATATATATATATATATATATATATATATATATATTCATACACGTTTCATTAAATAATATAGACAAGTGTTGTCTATTTATTTTATGTAAATTTTTTTCGTAACGTCTGATAAGTTTAATAACATTATCGTTGAACGAAGAAAGAAATTCACAATATTGATCCATATTTTTTAATACAATCTAAGCTTTCGGCTTACATAAGCCATTATCAAAGATGTCAATTGCAACATATTAAGCAATATACGGACAAGACAGTGATCATAGTCTGTCATTGTTTACTTAGATGATTTTCTAAGCAACAATAAACACGTGCATATAAGACGCTAGAAGCGAAAATCGCACCGCATCTCATGACGTCACACATGACCACGCGAGAGTGAATTCGAGAAGTATGAAGTATGGGAAGCCGTTGGTATAAACCAATGGCTTCTGTTACCAATTATAGACATTTCAGAATATTTGTAGAGATGCCATAATTGATTTTGTTTAGGTTGGGTTTCAACTGTTTGATGTATAATGCTTCAAGTATTTTTAGTTTTTGTCTATTGTTTTCATGTTGAAGTATAATTGTGTTTTCGACAAGTATTTTACGGAATTGTGTGTGCGGGCAGGCATGTTGTTTTAAATGCCTAAATACACACAATATATATATATATATATATATATATATATATATATAGAGAGAGAGAGAGAGAGAGAGAGAGACAGATAGACAGATACTATGAAGAGATACGTATCAACACTGCATAATGATTTTCAGTTTCACATTTCAAGAGATCTTCAGACCATGTGTCTATACTCTTTTCACAAGCTCTCTCTATAGATCACTGAGGGATTAAAGAGATTGAGAGAATGGGGAAATGTCACTCCCCAGTTCGTTTATTTGGGATTAAAGCTGTTGTTTATTTATAATCCTGGCTACTTTACTTTATTTATTATTTTATTTATTTATGTAAAATACTCCATTTACTTATTTGTTTTGTATATATTTCCTTTGGTTACAAATTTTCATATTTGAAACAAATTAAGTAAGAATTATACAAAGAAATAAAAAATGCCGAAAATTATTGCTATTCGACAACGAAAGGTTTCAGTTGATACAATACACAGATGTCTTCTGAAAAAACCCCAACTTGAACAGGCGTATAGCAGCAAAAACACCGTCATTAACAAAAAAATAAAAAATAGAAAAATAAAAAAACAACAACATCGAAATAGAAATTTGAAGAGGTCAAAAAAATATCTTACATGGGATGCTGTAAAATGGCAAAAAGTATTTTTTTAGTGATGAATGCAAAATAAAATTGCATTATAATGCAAGATTATATATAGGAAGACCAGTGTGAGAAAGAAAGAAAGCAAGATAGATAACAAAAATGGTATAATTTGGTGGTAATGTGTGGAGTTGCATCAAAAGCAGTAACAGTAGAAAAAAATTGGTTAAAATTGATGGAAACCTAAACAGAGAAAACTATATTAGTTTACTGTGGAGTAAATGATAGCGGCTCGGATTGAGGAATCGGAGAGCCGAGTTCGAATTCCAGTCGAATCCATTACATTCACTTATGTGCTAATACTCTTGGGAAAGGTGTGAATCTTCTTCTTCTCCCGCCAGCTATGCGCAAATAGCAGGACAGACCGGGGTCTATACCCTTGAATGGCAACTGGTCTACCGCAGAAAGAAATAGCAACCTACTGCGGGGAAAAATCTGCCTCGTCAGTCATATATCAAAAGATACATGATCGCCTAATCGTGTCACGCATGCCACATAGCTGACTGACCCTAAAAAACAGATTTCCCTATAAACAAAGCATGTTATAAATTAACGAGTTCAAAAATCAAGGGCTGACCAATGCATAAGTTTGATAAAAACTGATTTTTGATTTTTAAATCTTTTAATTAAAACTCGGAGAGTCGAGTTCGAATTCCAGTTGACTCCATCACATTCACTTGCGCGCTAATGCCCTTGGGAAAGGTATGAATCCTTCTCTTCTCCCTTCAGCTAAATAGCAGGACAGACCGGGTTCTGTAGCCTTAGATGGCAACTGGTTTACCGCAGAAATAAATGACAACCTACTGCGGGAAAAATCTGCCTCGAAAGATACATGATCACCTAAGCGTGTATCACGCATGGCACATAACTGACTGATGGTCTATTCGTCTACCAGACTAAGGAGAGAGAGAGAAAACGTTCATCATGATGGTGAGCTTTGCCATACATCATATGCAACAAAATGTTTCTTGCTGATGTTTGAAACAATGTTTTAAAGACTGTCCAGAACATAGTCATGATCTCAATGTAACTGAGTCATTTGGTTGTAACCAAAGAAACAAGTTCACAAACAAAGACCATGCAATAAACAAGAGCTTTGGGATTACTGCCAAGAAGAATGGTGACAAACTGCTTCTTCCATTGTTCTGTTCAATACCAATTATTCTAGTCAATAACAGTAACAATAATTACTAACTTCATGTTTGGATGTTTTTGACTTTCTGTAATAAAAAAAAATCATTTCCGCAAAGAAAATCCTTTTTAACTTTAAGAAAAAAGCTGTGAATTAAAATGTCCACTGATGGTTATCATCCAATACAAAGCATTAAGGAAAATGCAGTTTTAATTGTTTGCTGGCCTTCAAAGATCATAAAACCCGCCGAAAAATGTACACTGCTCATCACACTAGATGTTGGGATAAATTTAGCAAAAGTAATTAGATTACTGAGATGGCCCAAACGTTTTGCACGCCAGTGTACAGTAACATTCAACGAAACCCAGAAAATATATGGGAATAAATCATGGTTCCTGGAAACAGAGAAGGTACTCACACAAAACAAAATTTAGAAATAAAAATATGCAAATAGCACAACCCTCTCGAAACATATATGAAGACTTAAAAACGCAAGCCAAAACACACTGAAAAGACAATAAACTAGATAAATAAATGTATTTACAAAAGATATAACCTGAAATTACGAAGTTTTAGTTAAATTTCTTAATATAATAGGTCTTTGAAATATAGAAGTGGATTTTGCAACTGTTCCAATTATTTTGTCCAACCCCTGTATATATATAAAGAGTGATTGATATATAATAACAGAAATAAAGTTCACGCTAATAAGCAATATAAATTTATTCCTCACCAAACAGTGAAGAACAAATCTCTCTCTCTCTCTCTCTCTTTCTCTCTCTCTCTGTATATATATATATATATATATATATATATATATATATATATATATATATATATATATATGTTCATCACTGTTTGGTGAGGAACAAATTTATATTAGTTATTAGTGTCAACTTTATCTCTGCTATTATACATCAATCACTGTTTTATTACAACAAGCACTAGCTGTGCGCTCACACACACACACACACACACACACACACACACACACACACACACACACACACATATATATATATATATATATATATATATATATATATATATATATATATCACATTAGTATCAGTTCCTTTGGTGCTAAAATGCAGACACCACATTTCTTTATTTTTTTCTGTTATCGTTGTAAATGTAATCATTAACGTCTATGCGACCTTTTATGAATTTGTCAAATAAATCCTACCCATGATACCACAGGCTGAACAAGTATCCTGTCCTGTATTCAATGTAATTGTTTCTTTGTTATATTTGTTTAAACTTCTCACACTCAAGGGATCGTCAGCCCTGTCCTATGCTGATCATGATAGCATCGTCTTCGTTGACTTACACGAACACATACCGTTCTCCAGTTGTGAATGCCTCCAGTCATGTTCCTACTGGCGATTTAGGCCCTAAGGCTCACTTATACTAAATTCTGTCCATTCATTTAAATATATCTTGTCAATCCTCTTTTAGGATCAATAGTTGGCGAAAGTGTATAAAAGAAAGATAAATAATGACTTCTAGTGTTAACTGCATCTCTTCTGTTTTGTAGAAATTGACAACTTTTTCCATTTCACTGAAACGAACATTAAACACTTTTTTCTTTCTTTCTTTCTTTCTTGCTGAAACCAAGTAGCGTTTCTTATGTTTTTTCTGTCTTTCCCCGCCGTCAAAACTGAATTGTCC